GTCGATTTCTGTGAACTGAGTGCTCCATCCATTGTCATACATGAATATCACAAGCTTCTCAGTGCACTTGGATTGTTGAGAATTTGCAAAGAAGAATCTTGAACTTGTTGGCTGAATTTCATACCAGAGACCACTGTTGGGATGTGAATCCACATAACTGCAAAACGCCTCAACTGCTCGTCGAGGGCCCATAGCTCTGGTGCATCCAAGGTCAAGGATACATACAGTTGGTGGTGCAGAATTCTCTGTGTGGAAAGCTAACCCATTCTCACATGCCAAATCAGGTTGCCTGATATGAAATGAAAAATCACTCTGCTGCTCACCTCATTCCTCTGTCTCTACAGAGCCTTCAGGATGAGATGGTATCTCTGTCTCTACAGAGTGTCAATATGAAAACAGGGACTTGCCTTTTGCCAACGGCTTCCATGAAGCCTCACCTTGCTGCAAACCAACTTCTCTGGGCACTGGTGCTGGACGTCGTTGTACTCCGGTTCGAAGTGCATCAAGATCTCCAACGAAACCTCCTTGCTTCCTTTCTGTTCAGGTGTGCCACTGCATCACGTTGGTTTTGCCCTTTTGGACGAGTGCGTCGATATTCTTCTTGTTCTGCATAGGCGGCTGTCAAAACATCCACACGTGCTGGTTCAGTCTCTGCCATTGCAAAGAAACCATGACCAGAGCTTGATGCTGCAGAAGAATAGTGACCTTGTTGCTGCTGCTGGTAATGTATGGCAGGAGTCGACGAGGTCTGAGGTTGAACATAGATGGACTTACCTTTGCCATCTCCTGGTTTTCCTTCTTTGCCATCATCATCTTTGCCTTTCTTGCCCTTCTTGCCTTTCTTTCCTTTTCCTTTTCCTTTTCCTTTTCTCTGGAAATATCCATACTCATCAAGATAGTACAGATCCCAATAGCCTTCATTCCAGTTCTGATCATCGGCCCAATAGCTTTCATGAGAGTCATTCCACTCATCTCCTTCATTCCATTTTCCTCATATCCTTCTTCACTCACCATGTGAGAGCGGCCTTTTCTCCTTTTTCCTTCGGCCTTTTCCTTTCCTTGATCTGAAGAACCTTCGTCCTCCTCTGCCTTTTCCTTTTCCTTTTCTCTTTCCTTACCTTTGCCTCGTCTGGTCTGTCTTCCTTGGAACCTTCTCTGATACCATGTGTAATCAGCGTCATCATAGACCCAGAAAACATCTTCTAAAGCATCCAGGAATCCTTCTGCGCCGTCTTCGTCATCTTCGGCCCAATACCCGTCAGTTCCTTCTAATTCTCCTTCTTCCAGAACGAGGAAAGATCTTCTCTGTCCAATGCCAGAGGGTTGCATCATAGGATTGTCTAATGCCGTCTTTGTAGTGAAGAACATTTCCAGGAATGTAGCTCTGAGTTCTTGCACATTGTACTGATCGAGTGTTCGTCCACGATGTGGCATGATACTTGTGAGTGTGTTTCTCTGATCTTGAGTCAGATCTGCTAGACTTACAAAGATCAATGCTAGCAAGTTTTCGCCCAGGGGAAATGCCAGTCTCTGCTGTTGTCGTCTGCTTTCATTGAGTTGTCTGAATGCTGTCAAAGCATGTTCATCTGTCCATGGTACATTGACATGTGGTTTTTGTCCTGGTACAGCTGCTGCAACTCGTGCACGTTCAGCTTGATCTGCTTCATGATCTTGTCGTCGTTGTTGGACAAACAGGATTGCTTCTGGGCTAGTAATCAACAAATCTGGTAGTAAATCCATCCAAGACTCAATAAGTCTGTTTCCAGTCAGTTGAAATCTAGTCATCCATTTTTGAAGATCCATAGTTCCTCTGTTGTACTTCATGAACTGCATGAAACAGTATAAGAACACGTTTTGGGCACCTTTGATGGAATGGGGTCGTAGAAATCTCTTGAAGTAGTTGACTCCATCGTTGGGATCCCTGAGCATTTGTCTGTCTAATAACCTCTTGTATTGCTGAGCCTCTCCTTGCAGTCTGTTACGCAAAGCTGGTCCACGTTTCTCAGGTTCTAGCTCCGTGATGTCACACCAGTCATCAATTGCATCTTCAAAAGCAAAGCAGCTGGTTCTCCCATCATATGCAGGGGCTACCTTCGTGGTCATCTGCTGCGTCATATGGATTGAAGATTGAAGGCTGTTCAGGTGCTCTTCTCATTGCATAAGAGTCAAATTGATTCCATCCATCTGCATCGACAATGTCCAAGTCATCATCACCATCATCATCATAGCCATGGCGTGCCATATTGGGCTCTACCTGGAGCTCACCTTCAATGAAGGATCACAGCTCCGCTACCACTTGAAGACAGGAACTAGCTTCTAGGTTAGATCAGCTAGGGCGTCTTCCCAAGATAGCGACACACCTTTTTTTACTCACACGGCCAATAGCCAGTCGGTGTGGTGTCAACAGGATTACCCTATATCTCCCTTGAGCCTTGACAACGTATGTAAATGTGCTCAATACTCATGCTATATCAAGCAAGCCCATCTCACCCCCTCCCCCCCTCCTCCCCCCTACTAGTACTACTACTAAAACTACTACTGCTAGTACTAATCGAAGGAAGTTTAGAAGTCAAACTTCCGACAATATGGAGAGATGAAAAGCAGAGCAGGGCAGAGGCAGAGAGAAGAGGAAGATTAGAAGAGAGAAGATCAGAAGAGAAAGAGTAAGAAGACAGAAGATACAGATGCGCGAAAAGGTAGGCAAGTCGCGAAACACTCTGTTTTTCCAATGATTTGTGGCTCTGGAGGGTCGAAGTAGGCTCGCTAAAGCGGCGGGTGCGGAGCCAGCTGGCCACAGGAGCGATGAAAAATTGCACGCCGTTGTGGCGCGAAGCACATTTCCAAGTCAAAATGTACAAAACACACCAGGTCTGGACCACTTTTGGAAGTTGAGATGTCGAAAAAGTGCACGCCGTTGTGGCGCGAAGCACATTTCCAAGTCAAAAGGTACAAAACACAACATTCTCGGACCACTTTTGGAAGTTGAGATGTCGAAAAAGTGCACGCCGTTGTGGCGCGAAGCACATTTCCAAGTCAAAATGTACAAAACACACCAATGTCGGACCACTTTTGGAAGTTGAGATGTCGAAAAAGTGCACGCCGTTGTGGTGCGAAGCACATTTCCAAGTCAAAATGTTAAAAACACTAGGGGTTCGGACCACTTTTGGAGGTTCAGATGTCGAAAAAGTGTCGAAAAAGTGCACGCCGTTGTGGCGCGAAGCACATTTCGAAGTCAAAAGTGTAAAAAACTGAGGGTTTTGAGCCTTTTTTGACGTGAAGATGTCGAAAAAGTAGACATTGATTAACTTAACTAACTTGACTAACTTAACTAACTTCACTAACTTAACTACCCTAACTTCGACGACAACACCAACAGCAGCAACAACAACAACAACACCAACCACAACCACAACAACAACAACAACAACTACTACTACTACTACTACAACTACAACTACAACTACAACAACTACACAACAACTACAACTACAACTACAACTCGAACTACAACTACAACAGCTACAACAACAACAACAACAGCAACAACAACAACAACAGCAACAACAACAACAACAGCCACAGCAACAGCAACAACAACAACTACTACTACAACTACAACTACAACTACACAACAACTACAACTAGAACTACAACTACAACAACTACAGCTACAACAACAACAACAACAACAACTACAACTACAACTACAACAACAACAGCAACAACTACAACTACAACTACAACTACAACAACTACAGCAACAACAACAACAACAACAACAACTACTACTACTACTACACTACACAACAACTACAACCACACAACAACTACAACTACAACAACTACAACTACAAAACAACTACAGCTACAACCATATGACTGCAACTACACTACACTAATTACATTACACCACAACTACAACTCCACTACGCTACAACTACAACTACAGTTGCAGTACATCACACTACAGCCAGCAGTTGTGGGCGAGGTGACCACTGCAACCATTGCAACCATTCCAGCAAACACAACTCCAACCACCTTTCGGTCAATCAGTGGCTTCGCTCTGCCATCCCTGATTCACAACAACCAACTTCTCCTATAGGTTTCCTCTTTTTGAAACTTCCGCCACCGCCTTGTGCGGTACTACTGGTACTAGTACTGGTACTAGAAGTAGTGGTAGTAGTGGTAGTAGTGGTAGTAGTGGTAGTAGTGGTAGTAGTGGTGGTAGTAGTAGTAGTAGGGGCAGCAGCAGCAGTAGCAATAGTAGCAGTAGTAGTAGTAGTAGTAGCAGTAGTAGTAGTTGTTGTTGTTGTTGCTGCTGCTGTTGTTGTAGAAGCAGTAGTGGTAGTAGTAGTGGTAACTACTACTACCACTCCTGCTTCTACTCCTACGCCTACTCCGACTCCGACTCCTCTACCCCTCTACTCCTCTACTCCTTCCTCCCTTCTTCCCCACGTACTACACTGGTAGTGCCGGTAGCCGGTAGCTCATGACATTGCCTACAGCATTACCGTCGTCTACAGCTACTCGTCACAGGACGCACACGGTACTGATCGACTAGTACTCATTTGGTATGGCTTCCATTGGTGGTTCCAGCACGCACTTGCTACTCAAGCTGCTTCTGATCTACGGCTCTGTCTTCGTCTCTTCTTCTCTCAGGCTTCCACGTACTCTCCCCTGTCTCCTTCCATGCAGCGGTCTGCTGTCAAGACAGAAGCTCATACATAGTACCTGGCGCTACTTTGCTGGGGCGGTCCTAATTTGGTATATGGTCAGTAGGTTGGTACAGCATGTTACAGCAAACCTTGCTTCACAAGCCGCTTCCGTTTTACGGCTTTCTCTTCGTCTTCCTTTCTTATTCTGCTCTGTCGCGGGCTTTCACCCAGAATGCACATCAAACTCCCTTGAGGCCACCTCTCTACGGCCGGCGGGCTTGCCGAAGGCAATTAAATATTCAGAAACCGATCACCGATAGAATCCTGGAAAGAGCTGACCAAGGCCTGGGACTCTGCCCACCACATAGTCTCACCGTTGAGGCGCTGCAGAAGCGCCAACTGCGCAGCTGTAGAAACGCAACACATGAAACGACATCACAAAATGTCTAGCGAACAACAATGACCAATAGAATGAAAAATAAAACAAACAATGCACTGATAATTGTACAACATAAGGTACGAGTGTAGTGGGAACCTGTGCCTGTGTGTGCGCGCCCACTTGGATCGTGTGCTTGGGCAAAGTGGTGTGGATCGGTGTTTGTTGAAATGACATGTCCTTCATGGTGTAGAATTTCAGGGCAAAAAGAATGGTACACCAAACCTCCAAACCTCTTTTGGATCATGACAGAACACCATCCTTCCAATTTAAACTGCAAGGAAGACACATCGGAGACACAGGAAAGCAAAGAGAGCGACGGGATTCACCATGCCGGAACAACAACCTCCTTTTTCCCAAGCAAACCAAAGAAAGACAAATGGGAAACAAAAGGAGTCCAAGGGAACCATAATGACGGAACAATATCTCTTGTCCTAGACAACACTAAACGCAAAATACCGTTTGGAGTCAAGGGGGCGACAAAAGGAGTCAAAGAGTCAGTGGAAAATCCAGATTGAACGGCATCCTTTTTCCCAAGCAATCCAAAAGGAAGTGACCGATGAGTCATGAGAGACAAAAGGAGTCAAAGCGAGTCACAGGGAGCTATCACGATTGAACAACATTTTTTCTCACAACCAAACCAAAAGGAGGACACATGGCAGACAAAGCGAGAAAAGTGGGAAACAAATGGGTGAGACAGGTAGTCAATACGGAGACCAATGGTCAAACAAGTCTCTGCAGTGAGGAAACAAAAAGGGAAACAAAGGGAGAAACGGGGACAAGGACGAAACAGGGAGAATCGTGGTGGAACAGGATCCCTGCACTGAGGAAAGAATCAGGCAAAAGGAGACAAGCGGAGGACAAAGCGCAGACAAGAAGTTAACAAGGAGATACAAAAGGAGGTAACTGGGAGACAGGTGGGAGACTAGTTAACTCCGGGAGTCATGGTGGAACACAATCCCTTCACTGAGGAAAGAAGAAGTCGAAAAAGTGGAAGACAAGGGCGACCAAGTGGGAGACAAGTATGGGGCACAAAGAAAATCATTACGGAACAAATTCCTTTGCTTAGCAAGAATTGAGAACTCTGTCAGCTGGTAGCCGTTTGGTGAAAAAACACACGATGAACGATGATGAACGGACAACCATTTGCAAATGCAGACTTGCAATCCCAAGGGTGCTGGGTTCTCGTCTGAACCAAGACAGCGCATTTCAAACATCAAAGCCCCAATCAAGACCACAAATCGTTGACTGTAGTCGATGTATCTGGAGCCTTTCCCAAGCAATGCCGACGAAAACGGATTCGACATGATTTGACGCAGAAACAGGTAGATGCAATCCATTGTATATACATATGATAGGGTATTTATATATATATGTATCATATCATTCCGCCCGCACCGAAGGTGCCGAAGCGTGGTAGTTTAGCAGCGAGATACGAGCACGGGTGGTAACTTACCCCACAACCTACAATCTTACCCCACCGCATGGCACACAGCTTACCCCACAACCTAAAGAACTTGTGCCATAGCCAAATCACCACGGCACACCGACACCTATCCATACATGTGCGCATTGTTTTCATGAAATTCCTATGCGGGCTGCAACGCTTTGTACCGTTTTTTATCTGTCTTCAACCTGACACAAAGCGTTGTAACCGCATGGCACACCATCAACTTGACCTCTAAAAGACCAGGAGTTCTACATGTCATTCTCATTGGCGGACTCTCATTCCTGCCCTGGGAAAAATATACTCACAAAATGCTTTTCCCAGTGGCACACCAGGAACATTCCAGCACTGAACAACACAGCACCATGGCACTGAGATATTAAAGGTACCGCTTGACAGGGTGATTTTTACGAGATCCTTACGGGGTCTTTACGAGATCTGTACGAGATTGGGATTTTGCAAGGCAAGGCAGCAGGGCAAGGCAGCAGGGATCTTTTCTACTCTTCCCTTCTCTACTCTATGCCTCTCTAATCACTTCTACTCTTCAAGTCGATTCTCTTCTCTACTCTTCTGTATATAGTCTCTTCTGCCCTACTCTTCTCTTCTACTATTTTTTTGTGTGAGTCAGGCTATTGAGAAGCCATTCCCATGAGTTTCTATCTCAAAAAGAATATGCCTCAAAAACCTCTGTGCCCCTGCAAAGTGTTAGAAAAAGCAATCCAGTAAGAATGACATATCATGGACTTCCCAGCAGCACACCGTTTGCGGCACAAGAAAACAACCGCGGCACAAGTTACCACCCTCACCCTGTACGAATGGACCGATCTGTCAGTCTGGTGCAGCTTCAGCTGGGGGGGGCATGTTCACCCGGGACATGCCGCCAAAGAGTGCACGGGACTGCGGTACTTTGCGCATTTTGCAGATCGGCCCAAGATTGTCCAAATGCACCGTTTCGACCCGACATGGCAGCAACATCAGCCCGACTTGGGGTCAACTTCGGCCAGCAAGGCCCCAACTTCGGCCCAACTTGGACCAACTTGGCTCCAAGGTGGCAGCAGCTTGGGCCCAAGTTGAGGTCCATATGGTGTCAAAATGGAAGGCATAGCGGCCCAATGCAAAATCCTCAAGACGCCCGTTTTCACTGGTATTTTCCTTTTTTGGCTATCGATGACGCTTTGTTTGCAGCAATGTTCCCCATGTTGTGTCGCCGTTGGGCCCAACTTGGTGCGAAGCTGTCGCCAAAGGGTGTTGGAACTGACTTGGACTTTCATGTGCATCACATGGCTTCAATTTAGAGTCCATCTGGATCGCTTTGGGCCTAACTTCAGCCCAACATGACCTATTGGCGCCAACTTGGACCTATTTGCGCATGCTATGCTAGGCCCAACTTGCGTCCAAACGTGCCCAAGCTGCACCATGTTGGACCCGAGCGAACTGGCCCGAGTTCGGCGCAAGTCACGCCCAAGTTGGGCGCAAGTGGGCTCCTGTTCGGCCCAACTTGAGGCCAAGAACGGCCAAGTTTGACCCCAGTCGGCTTTTGGTTGGGCCAAGTAGGCCCGCTCCTTGGGTGCGGGCGGTTCTCGTCGCGAAGCGACTCGATAATATTAAGCTTAATATAAATATCCGCCGACCCCGGCCGACGCAAGGGGGAGCGCGTAAGGGAAGAAGATGGAAGAAAAGGACTTGCAGCAGCCAGCAGGCATACTTGCAGCAGCCAGCAGGCATGTGAGGCAGCAGCAGCAGCAGCAGCAGCATTGAGCAAGAGTAACAGCAACAGAACTAGCAACAGCAACAGCAGCAACAACAACAAGAAGAACAAGAACAACAACAACAACAACAACAACAACAAGAAGAAGAACAACAACAACAACAACAAGAAGAACAACAACAACAACAAGAACAAGAACAACAACAACCACAAAGACAAACATAAACCCAAACAACAACGAACAACAATAACAAACAACACCAAACAACAATAAATAACAAGAAACAACAAGAAACAACAACCAACAACAACAAACCATGACCCTTTGCCGGGGGACTCTGTTGGGTCCCCCTCCCACCGGTCACGTACCTCGATTCCCTGACTCCGGGGTTTTTGTTTCACCGGTGGGGGGTCCTTCCCGGAGTCTCCTCGAAGTACGTGGGGCTCCTCGGGTTGCCCTTCCCGCCTGCCCTTTTTTTGGGTTCATGCTTGGTGGCTTCTTCGTCCTTCACTGCCATGGTGTTTCAGGCTGGCGGGTCTGGCGTTTTGGCGTGTCAGAAGCTGTAAGTTGAAGAGGTAGTTGAAGTGCTAGGTCTCTAGGATTTCAGAAGGGACGTTAGGGAGTTTTTTGGTGCGATTTGGTGGCTTCTTCGTCCTTCACTGCCTGGTATTTCAGGCTGGTGGGTCCGGCGTTTTGGCGGCTCAGAAGTTGTAAGTTGAAGAGCTAGTTGAAGAGCTAGTTGAAGAGCTAGGTCGCTAGGATTTCAGAGTGGACGTTAGGGAGTTTTTTGGTGCGATTTGGTGGCTTCTTCGTCCTTCACTGCCATGGTGTTTCAGGCTGGCGGGTCCGACAATTTTGGCGGCGCTGTAAGTCGAAGAGCTAGTTGAAGAGCTAGTTCTCTAGGATTTCGGAAGGGACGTCAAGCCTCGGGACAGCATTTGACTTCGTTGTGGAGCTGTCTTGAGGGCATGGGAGCTGGCAGCAGCAGTCACCGTTGGATGGATTGGATTGGATGCGATTTCTAGCAGGATAAGGAATGGGAGTGGTTTACTTTTAGCCGTCGCAGCTAGCCACCAGCAGCAGCAGCAGCAGCAGCAATCAAAAGTGGATTGGAATTTGCACCAATGGGTGTCAAGAACGTGGGCAAGAGCACGCAAAAGGTGCACATAGCCAGTAGCTAGCAGCCAGCGCCAGTAGCAGCCAGCAGCCAGTAGCCAGCAGCCTACCAAAAATCTAGATTTTTCTAGGATTTCAGACGACACGTTAGGCACTTTTTTGGCGTGGTTCTGGCACTCGCTCGTCCTTCAGAGCCCTGGTGTTTTCCCCCCCGGCAGGTGATTTTTTCGAACCTGTTTTACTGCTAGCAGCCGCCAGCAACAGAATCTATCGAAAAATTGTGTTTTTCTAGGGTGTCAGACGACACGTTAGGCACTTCTATATATCTTGTATATTTTTCTATAAGGTTTCAAACGTGACGTTTGGCAGTTTTCTCGTTTATATAGCACCAATGGGTGTCAAGAACATGGGCAAGAGCACGCAAAAGGTGCACATAGCCAGTAGCTAGCAGCCAGCGCCAGTAGCAGCCAACAGCCAGTAGCCAGCAGCCTACCAAAAATCTAGCTTTTTCTAGGATTTCAGACAAGTTTAGGAGCAGGAGCCGCAGCAGCAGCAGGAGGAAAAAGTAGCCAAAATCATCATGTTCTATGGGTTTCAGAAGTTACGTTAGGCATTTTCGGGGTGCAATTTTGGGGCTTATGGGCAAGAGCACGCAAAAGGGCAGCAGCAGCAGCAGCAGTTGTTTCTTGCTTTGGAAGCTGTTTGATTGCAGCAGCACGACAGCAGCACCACAGCAGCAGCAGCCACCAGCAGCAGCACAGCAGGAGGCAGCAGGCCGCCGCAGGCAGCAGCAGGCAGCAGCAGGAGGCAGCAAGCATCAGTAGGCAGCAGCAGACACAAGCAGACGCAGCAGCAGTAAGCGCAACGGCAGCAGTGCAGCAGCTAGCAGCACGAAAAATTGTGTTCTTCTAGGA